GGGACAGGGGATGGGGTTTAGAGTCAGTTCACAGGCTGGTGGTTCCTGCCCCTCCTGCCTCAGTTCTCACCTGCTACTCCACGGGGTCCCTCCCATGGCAGAGTCCTCCGCCAACCTCTCCTTCCTGAGTCCTTCCCACGAGGTCCGGAGCTGCTCCAGCCTGGGCTTCCCACAGAGTCAGGGGCTGCTTCAGGAACAGTCACCTGCCCTGGTGCTGGGGTCTTCCACAGCTGTATAATCAGATTCCACAAAACCCTGCATCATCTCACCACCCTCACAGGAAATAACTTCTCCCTAATGTCCAAACTCAATCTCCCCTCCTTAAGCTTCAAACCATTGCCCCTTATCCTCTCACTACACACCTACCCCCAAAAAAAGCCCTACCCCAGCTTTGTTGTAGGTCCCCTTCAGATATTAGAAAGTTGCTATAAGGTCACCATGAAGTCTTCTCTTCTCTAGGCTGAACAATTCCAACTCCCTCAGCCTATCTTCATACAGGAGGTGCCCCAGCCCTCATCTTCATGGCTCTCCTCTGGACAAGCTCGAGGAGTTCTATGTCTTTCTTATGTTAGGAACTCTAGAATTGGACAGAGTACTCCAGGTGGGGTCTCACCGGAGCAGAGGGGGAGAATCACCTCCCTTGACCTGCTGGCCATGCTTCTTCCAATGCAGCCCAGGATATGGTTGGCTTTCTGGGCTGCAAGTGCACACTGATGGCTCATGTTAAACTTCCGATCCACTACTACCCTCAAGTCCTTCTCCTCTGGGCTGTCGTCAGTTACTCCTCCCAGCCTGCATTCATGCATGGGATTGACTCAACCCAGGTGCAGAATGAGGTAAGCCAAGCAGGGCACCAGGGAAGAAAGCACACATCCGTCATCTTGCTGGGTGAATGGCCCTCTGGGACAGGCCAGTGTTCTTTTAGCCAGCTGCTGCTGAGCCCCTATATAACCCTTACAAGTCACCCTGCAAGATGCAATAGAAGGTACCTACATGGACGACAGGCCAGTGAGCTCAAATTTAAACAAATGGCCCAGGTTGCCACGGAAACCTCCAGGATGGAAAAGATGCACTTTGAAAACAGAGTGAGGCAGATTTCATATCCATTCTGAAAAGGCTTATGACCAGAAAAGGCAAAGTGGGTGTTAAATGCCTTTTAGCTAAGTCAACAGTAGCAGCACTTGAGAAGGCGGCATTATGGATTTGCAGCACCCATCATATGTCTTCTATCTTGAACCTCAAGAGAAGAGTCTTCTGCATTTTGCCAATACTATGGTATCATAACTCTGGTTTCTTAATCCCTTCCTGGCACTCCATCTCCTTTAACATTACTATTGTAGCTAGTATAACTATAGATAGTAATTTAGAAGTAGAAAATAAATAGCCAGAATTAATCTGACACAGGAGGAATACAATTATGTGCAGCTTTAAAGCTAATAAAATCTGAAAATTCTAAAGAGGTTTTTTCCCTAAAAAAAAAATAAAAATAACGTGGAGAAATGAAGGAACTTTGCTATTGGCTTTACATGTCATGTGCTTGCTTAGATCAACCCAGTGTGGCTCAAAAGGATAGTAGTTGATCAAATATACTCTAACCTCATCAAGAGTTTGTGCTTGAATATTCAAATATTCTGTAATTATTACTGCAAGTACCATGGAGACAGAGTGATTCCTGACACTAGTATGGTTAATTAATAATGTTATTGTTAAGATAGGTGTTAAATAAATGAATGGCTACGTATCGTTGATGGAACCAGCCATCTTTTTTTCAGAACAGCTCCATCCTGTATATTCCCTCAGGGTGCTGGGCCACCATCCACCCTTACCAAAGGCAGCTTCCATTTGTCTGCTCCTTACCATCAAGCTTGAGGGCCTCTATATTTTGGAAGAGATGATGGCTGTTTTGGAAAAGGGAATCTTAACGGGGGTAACTAGTAGATTCAATCTCTTTGAAAGTCACAGACAACGAACAGTTTTGATGAATGGAATTTTTCAGCTTTTCTTGGAAGAGACTCACATACTCTGCTGAAAAATAACATTTCAGAATGAATTAACAGGAAAAGCCCACAGTTTGTTTTCTACATTTAAAAGTATCATCACATCTGCAGCAGGGAGCATATGAGAGGTAGCTACAGATAAATATGAACAAATAACAATGGGACTGAGAAGGGGAAAAGAAAACCTATGAGAGACAGTTTGGGGGACAAAGGAAGAAGACAAGGAATATAGAAAATAAAATTCAGAGGTGATCCGCAGGCAAAGGAGCTCTTAGCAACTGCTCCACTACATCATATGGACAGACTGCTCCAAGCTTAGATTGGCAAGTCTGGTGATACCAGCAAAACCAAAACTCCTAGGCCTCATATGTGTATTTATAAATGTTTTATTTTAAATTAGTGTAATGAATTCCAAATTTAAACCTTTTTTCAAAAAGCCAGCAGCTGGGAATGTTGTACTGTCAAAACATCTCAGGAAAGAAGAAAGCCATATAACTAAACCCCAAATATTTTTAGTTTATTCTTAGTAGTATTTTTAGAAATATTGTTTTCAAATCCATACAACTTAACTTAAAGAATGGAACCTAACTATATATTTACCATTCTAAATACATTACCCTCTGCTCTTGACTCCAGCAGCAGAAACACCTTAACACTAGTACTAAAAGTTGCCCTGCTCTCTAGTGAAAAATCTTTAGGTGTCACAACAACACTTCAGGCTCAAGACTTCTTAAATCTCACTTTTGTGCACATCCATTTTGAGAATTGTAAGTGCTTGTAGCATACAGGAACAAATTTCTACCCACAGAAAAAATGCCCTTGCAGAAAGGTCTCCTAAGGAGATGTAGGCTGCAATCTCCTCTGCTCTAAGCCATTTCCTGCTGTCCTGGCAGACAGGAGGTTGCAATCCACTGCCACCTCGCTAGGTGACTTTTTGGGAGGAGGTGGGGGGAGGAAGGAAGAACCAACAAGTTCTCAGCTGACGAAGAAACCTGACCTCTGTGCCAACTGTTCCCCTTGTATACAGGACACTCAGGACAGGGGGAGTCTTATGCCTTCTTCCCACCATCAACCATCTACGGATATAGGCAGCAGCACAGCGAACATGAGAGAGAGAGAGTAGAATACAGTAGACACCAATAACAAAAGGGTATTGCCCCAAGAGAGCTCTGTGGGATATAGCATATTTCTTATAAATAATTTTATTGTCCAGGAGGAAACCTTGATCTTCTCCTGGATCAAAGGAATTAAAGAAACTAAACCACAACTTGCTACCATTACAAATTGGAACCAAGGAAGTAAGTGGAAAAACTGTTCTTCCACAACAGTATCAGCCTCCAGGACCCTACCATCAGTTACGTGCCACAGCTTCATTTAATTCAAATGAGTTTCAGTTTCCATAGACTGAGGTGTGGGGGTTGAAAAGTTTCAATCTGGTCCCCATCTCCTATGCTCTCTTACAACACGACTGCTCTTAACACAGACTAAATAAATTTAGCTTGTATGAACTGATAAAGTCTAAAGTGTTGCCTTGTTAGAATAGCTGGATAAATTAGCACTGTCCCTTGGGTTAAGGAAAACCACTCTGTGTAAGGACTGCCAAACCTGGGCATACACCTGCCCAGAGCTCTGCTTACCCAAAAAAGTAAATGTGAAATGAAGCATCTGCCTCCTGCAAAACTAATTCTCAGGAGATACTGAGTATACATCATGGAGCCCAGAACCTTAAATTCACATGCAAGGAATTAAAATTGAATATAATCCAAAAACTTACATATCAAACTTGTATTTTGATCCAGTAGAGTGGATGCCTTTAGCTGCAGCGAGATCTTAACCATGTAGAAAAAATACCTGACATAACATCCAGACAGCAGTTACCAGCTCACTGTTTCCTACCAACAGGTAAGATGTACTGAGGGCAGGAAAACTTGAAGAATTCCAGCAAGTCAACCTACAATCAGGTCTGAGCTGCTCCTCTGTAGCAGCAGAGGTTCAAGATATAACTCTCCAAATAATATTCTTTAATGCAATATGCAATGGCCTAGGAGCAGAAGCAGCAGAGTGAATGCTGCACGTGCTACTACACACTACTTAGTGCAGATTTGCAACAGACTTATATTGTGATTACAATGATTTGGGGCAAAATCTTTGGACCAATTCTTCTGGGTATCAAACTTGGCAATAGAATCTGTCAGCATTGGCAGAGAAGCTGACATTTCCTGTCCCACCTGAAACCAATGGAAGCCACAACTTAGTTGCACTAAAAAGAAAAACAAAAATGAAATTAAGAATTTAATAGCAAATTCTGAAATGATATTTTTCATCTTTGTTTCTATTTTCCTGCCTATAACAGAGATGTAAGTTTCAAGCCAGCAGGGATAGAGGATTGTTAATACTCAAGCAATGGGCAGCTTTAACCTGGCTGATAAGGCTGATGGCTAAGGTGTCTTCATTGCTTGCCTTTATCTGCCTCATCTACATGGATAAACAGGATGAAGTCTGACCACAGAGTGCACAGCAGAAGGGAACCTTGACCCTCTGGTCTACTAGACATCAGTACAATTCAAGTAATTATATAAAAAATTAAACTGATTGCTTCACTGAAAAAGACTTTGCAATTTACAAATAAAAAGCAGCATACTGCCCCTTGGTGAAAGGGGTTTGAGATCATCATGAAGTGCAGCTCTATCGTTTCTGTACACACCGTGCAAATACAACTGGTTTTACAGAAAAGACTTTTGTCTTTTGAGAGGAAAGGGGGGACAAGAGAAGATATAAAAATAACTGTTTGCCAAGTCCTGTTGCTCCAGTTGGTACCTCTCATTTCTTTCATGTGCTTTGTGTTCTTTTAAGAATGACCATTGTTGTTTCACAAACTTAAAGCCTGTGATTTATTACCATTTAGTAACATAACATTCCTGAAAACAAAACAGCACTGTCCACGTAACACAGGCAGCTTCTGATTGTCTTCTTAAGATCTTAATATCTTCATAATATTGATTCTTTTCCCTATCACATATTTCTCAGAACTCTGTTCCTGTAAGGCTTCCTTTAAATCTGTAGCAATTTGAGGCTCTGGATCTGCAGTGGGTTTCTGTCCAACAATGCCCAAAGTGCCTCTTCACTTCCAAACTCCATCTGGTTCTGGATGAATGATCCTAAAGGTCAAGTTTATCCGTGCATCCCTAGAATGATATTCCTTAGGCACTCGATGCTGCAAGTGGCATTAGAAAAAAAAAAAAAGAAAATAAAAGAAACGAAACAAACAAACAAACACCAAAAGCATGAGCTTAAAATACAGGTAATCAAACAACATAAAAAACCCCCTTAATTTCCTGCTATGGCTTTTAATTAACATTTCTAAACACTTAGGTAAGGCAAAAAAATCCATATTCTGACTGTTCAGGGCCACTGAAAACAAAAGGTCTTTGTAGATTACTAGAAACTTGTTAAATTAAGTTGCAATTTTTTAATATTCAAAGTTCCTAAAGTGATTTTGCTTTCAGCTTCAGGCTGCAACCTTCCTTGCTGAACTTTAAGGCTGGAACATCTGAGCTGATTCCTATTACATCACTTAGCAGCTGAAAGAAAGTCCATTGTTTCTGTAGGAGCTCTGAAATTCTGAGGCAGAAAGAAGTATCAATGCTCTGGGACACTGGAAGCAGAATGTCCCATACATTTATGGGAGTGCCTTGTGCATATTTAGAAAACTACATAGCAAGTAAAGCACACAAATGGTGTCAAGAAGTTCTTACCTGCCAGTCCTCCTGGGTAGCTCCTTCCATCATCAGCAGAGTCCCGTGATCAAGTGGGATTCTTAGTCTTTTTACGTAAGTATAGTCTCCATTCTCTTCCTAAAAGGAAATATCAGACACTGACAAAGCAGGCATGTGAATTTGGTAGAACTGCAGCCCTCTGTAGTGGAGCTTAGAAAGCTGTGAGAGGAGAAGAAGCAGCTTGTACAAGACTGAGAATTCTAACTAAACCTGTTTTACCATATTTCATAAAGAATTTGGAAGCCAAGCATTTTAAGGATGAAGAAGCCATTGTGTCTCACTGCCTGGACAACACAGGTAAAGTGCAACAAGTTCCTACATCTAGTACAAAATCTTGGAGGCTGTGAACCTCTTGGAAACATCCACTCTTCAAATAAACAGTTCTGTGTGGAGATGTTCTGAAGCAGCCACCTTGATTCCAGTGGTTATTGACTATATAAAAAATACGCACCTTCCTTCCGCTCTTCTTTTGGACATTACATGGTGGTAAAGTATTATATGACAGATGAAGAACTTTTCCTTGCAAAAACAAGCTCCTTTTCTTATAGTACCATGTAAAAGAAGTTTTCTTCAACTTTATCATCACTAAGCAGAACAGACTGCTAAACTAGAAGACAAATAATTTGCAAACTTTTGTTGAACCTTCAGATTATGGACACAAACACAACAACCAGACATAGTAACACCACAGTATAAAGTCTCACACATACTGCATTAGTGGGACCAGTAACTCTCTATGGCTTTGCAATATCCCTTCCAGTTTTAAAGCAGATTAATATACTGCTAAGTCAAATTGCCTGGGGAAGTCTATTATTCAAACTCCCTGTCAACCATAACAGTAACCTCCTCACGAAACCACGCTGTGCATTACATGTATTATATTCCAGAATGCCATACGGGCAGGTGTTATAATGCTCTATGTACTCCTTTAATATGTTCTGGTTTTAGCCTTCAACAACTGCACAAAAATTGCTGCAAACCCTGGACAGCTTCCAGTCAACATCTTGCCTACTCCATGCCAGCACTTTGATTATTTCATTAATAGTGAAATGTGAATAGGAAAGCCAGGATATCCCCCAAATAACAGAATGGCAGTATTTTGCCTTTTATAGACCTCTATTGCCAACTTTGCAAGCTGTCTAGAAAGAGTGGAAAGCAACTCTCTGAAATGAAGAATTCAGGGAAGTTTCAGATAGGAAATTACCTGCAAAATACAGAGATTATTTTAGAGAGAGAGTGAGTTAGATAAATATTTTAGTTAGTGTTGAAAGGGAGGAGACTCAAGAGCTCTTTTATTTTTAAGTTATAGAAAGCCAAAGATAGGCTAAAAGTGTAAAGTGGATAATAAATGTCCTCCACTGAAGAGCATGTCAGGTTCTTAGTCTCTACACAGTAAAAGTACTGGGTTAACCTTTCTGAGTATATGCATATAGCAAATAGATATATTGAATGGGTATCTGTTATAGTACCACTGCCTCTAGAAACAGAGATACTGGGTTTTTTCCTCAAAGAGATCACCAAAACAGTTAGTTGTTCTTGCAAGAAATGCTGGAAATACACAAGTACTACAAAGAGATGAGAAAAAATAATCAGGCCAGGTTTGAGCTTCTAAAGCATGATGGTGTTCCTGTAAGGGACCTTATCTATTACACAGCTGCTGAACAAATGCATCAGATTTTTAATTTTTTTTAATTGGTTAGGCAGGATCTTCTTATCCAGTTTCTTACAATGGTTGGCAAAGTCCTAAAATTATACTTCCTGAGTGTTAAGGAGGAGGGAACATTCAATTTATTTCAGACCCAGTTAAAGGCAGCAGTTACTCCAGACTGAACAAAACATGTTACTACCAGAGTGGAATTTGTCACTTTGTCACATTTGTCCTGTAAGATGAAATTGTACATTGGATGGAGGGAAGATATATATGTGTGTATGTGTATATATATATACGAGAGGTCACAACTTCTGACACTTGTAACAGAAGCAGATCACAAAGAAGCTGGAAACAGTAAAGGGCAAATGAGCCTTGGAAAATGGAATTATCACAGTAAGATTTAATACAGATTGAGGTGCAGTTAGAGTTACCTCACACTGAAAAAAGCCCCAAACAAAATTACAAGACCTCCAGGATTCAGCAGTATGTTGAGTTATTCAGGAAAACTACAGAGACCCAGTGGTTAGAAGAAAACATAAATGGGTCATAAAAGGCAGACATAGTCTTTTGACAGCCATGAAAACGACCCAACAGCTATCATCCAACACTTTTTATTGCTGTTACAAAAACTCACTCTTATTTAACTTTGTTGAAGCTTAATTCTGCAGTGGCCTACCTTGATGCACACTTGTCTTTTTAAAACTCATGGCTCGCAGAAAAGTTCAAAATAACGAGGTAAAGTCTCAACTACTGGAGAAATTATGTCTTGGTCTTAATACACAGTCTGATTTTCAAAAGAACAACGGGGAATGGGGCAGAGAGAGTGGTATAAAAATATGCACACATAGGTATATCTAGAAGACTGCAAATCTTTTAACATGTACAAGAGCTTGGCTTGGATCAAATCAATTCCCAATGCTAAAAAGCATCACCTGATACAAAGGACTACCTCTTCATCCCTCTGCTACTTTTGGTCATGTCTGGGACTGGAAGTTGCAGTAGGACAGAACAAAGCTATTCAATACTTGCAGCACTGGCTGGCAATTCTGGATTTGTGTGTTTCTTGGGGATACCTATGGGCCTGAGGCTATGCCAGTGACTGAGCTCACTAAACCTCTGGTATCTGGGAGTGCTGAAGGCACTCAATCATGTAGAATATGTATTTTTTATAAGAAAAATGCAAAACATTTTTAAGCTTCTAGAATTATTAGCATTTCTCTTGCTCAATTAAAAGTGAGGTGTAATGATGAAAGTGTTGTCTTAAACTTCATCAGATTAAACATGGAAAAAATTTCAAAAATAGCTATTATAAACAGGACTGCTGATGAAAAGCAGAGAAATACCATTGCATGGCTGCATCCTATTTCACAGGATTACATCATTTCACTTTGTTGGATGGACAACAGTGAATTTATTTTTCTCTCTTGCTCATCTTGATTAAAAAGGAATTCTGCTAAAATAAATTATTTAGGAGAAAGCACCCTTTTGGCTTAGAAAAGTCAGTATATATAAGCAGCAGTTACTTCCTCTTTTAAATGGGAGATCTCCAAGCTTAAACTCCTCCAGTCCTTCTGCAGCTGACCTAGCAGACTGCAAGTAAGGTAGACCTAAAGTGCTTCTATCTTCTGCTTTGCTTGTCCATAGCTGCTCAAGTCCTGCCAATACTGGTGCTGTCTGCATGTCTCCTTCATGCCAATCTAAAAGTTCAATCCTTCTTGTCCTTGTTTCTACTGTGCTCCATATATTCCCACATTCATCTTTAATTAGGTCTGTTAGGACACAAAGGGTTATTTTTCTGCTGTTTTCAAAAGTACTAGCAGAGAGAGCTTTAAGTTCTAGTAGAACAGAACAACAACAACAGAAGAAAAGGAGTGTTTTTATGTTTCGTTTGAAGGATCGACTCATCTGAAGGCTGATTCTGAGAACACCACAAACATCCTGCTATTATCTAACACACACGTGAAGCTCCCTCCCTTCCCCAGCACCCACTAGTTTCCTTGGTTACAGATGGAAGAGGAGCAACCTGACAGCTGGCCTTCTAACTTATGGCAGCTTTTTGGACAACTGCACCAAACTGGTCCTTAGAGCACCCAGATCTCTAATACACAGCAGCTCCCAGTAGGACATGGGAAATTACTGGGACATTAAATATCACCCTTCACCCTTGAACTAGCAACATTTCACACTCACCTTCCAGAAAGACCTAATCAGATAACCAGGCACTGTCTCACTGAGTTGAGCAGTGATAAGCAATAGTAATGATGATCGTGAGACTGCATCAGGAAGACCCACATAACACAGCAAAATCAATTCCTCAAGAGCAGAACAATTAAGCCATGTATGTGTGGGACAGGGTCCTTGAAGCTGTGTGGAGAACAAGAGGAAGTCACAGTGGTGCAGTGGTGCTGTGGGCAAACACGAGAGGACCTGTTGACTAAACCACAGATTGTGTGTGAATTGTGTATAAATCACAGCTTTAAAACAAAGCATTTGTCTCTTGGTTTCACTGTAGGCAGGAGCCTCAACGATGTGGGGGGGAAGAAGGAGGCAAGAAAAATGCTGAAGTAACTTACTGGAACCAGAAGTAGAAAATAAAGGAAAACAGATCACTTCACTGTAGACTTTGAACTACCAAGTAGGCATCCAAAAAACTCTAGAAACCATTTAAAGCAAAGACAATATATCAGCTACAAACAGAATTGGTCAAAAGAACCAGAAAAGGCAGTATTTAGAAGAAAGACTGCTGAAAAAGAAAAAAGTCCAGCAGATAAAGTAAAACAGTTTCTGGCATCATGTTAATTTACATTAAAATCTCCTTAATTCCAGTGGAGAATTTAGTCCAGAAATGTTTTTGCAGCTTTTTTTGCAGGCACTGGGTTGAAATCTGAGTAAGAACTATTTCTACTTAGCCACAAGTGATGCTTGTTGATGCAGATTCAAATTGGATATGCGTGTGTCTACACTGCTTCACCATCTATTGTATGATGAACACTTACTCATCCAGTACAGTACTCACCAAAAAGAGAGAACTGAACATTTCCTTCCTCTTACCCCAGAACAATTTTCAGGGAGAAAAAAACAACCAAAAAACAAAACAACCACTGCATCTAAACAACTTTTTTTTTTACATTTTTTGACAAGGAAAAATGCAGAGAAAGGATAAAAAGATTTATATTTGTGACAGTTTCACAACTGCCTATTTAAACACCACCAAATTCCTGCCAGATAAATGTCAAAATTCACACAAGCACGCACAAAAAAACAAACCCACCAAGATTACTGGTCTTCTTTGCAGTTAGAGAAATAGAATTTTAATCTCTCATAAATAAATCCACATTTCAAGATATTATCTGTACAGATACTAACATGAACTGCAATCTCTGAAGACTGATGTAGGGTTCTTCAACAGCACATCAAGATGTTACCTGGATGGTGGTACATACTGTTTTATACCCAGTACATGATCACACACAGGCAACTGGATTAGGGTTTTTCTTTCATTACCATTTATACACAGTGAGTTTCTACTATAGCATTTATCATCCTGTATCTTCATTACATCTTTCCATCTTTCATCTGAAAATACTGAAAAGCACTTATAAGAACCCAGGGAAATAAAAGGCCTTTGAAACTCTAGAATCTGAAATACTAGAATTACAGAATCACACAGAGTTTTTCTAGTTTGAAAAGACCTTTAAGGTGAATGAGTCCAACCATAATCTAGCTCTACCAGCCATTAACTTAACTCTACCAAGACCAGTGCTTAAACCATGGTCCTAAGCATCACATCTAAAAGATCTCCAGAGACAATGACTCCACCACTGCCCTGGGTAGTTTGTTCCAATGCCTGACAACCTGTTACGTGAAGAAATTCTTCCTAACATCCACTCTAAAGCTCCCATGGGACAACTTGAGGCCATTTCCTTTTGTCCTTGTATCACTTGTAACCAGATGTCCTTGTATCACTTGTAACCTCAGATGCTCGTTGTATGACTTGCTCTCTAGACCCTTCACTAGCTTTGCTGCCCTTCTCTGGACTCGCTTCAGCACCTCACTGTCTTTCTTGTAGTGAGGGGCCTAAAACTGAACATGGTGCTCGAGGTGGGGCCTCACCAGTGCTGAGCACAGGGGGCAACCACTTCACTAGTCCTGCGGGCCACACTATTGCTGGTACAAGCCAGGATGCCTTTGGACTTCTTGGCCACCCGGGCACACTGCTGGCTCATATTCAGCTGCTTGTTGATCAGCACCTCAAGGTCCCTTTCCACTGAGCAGCTTTCCAGTCACTCTTCTCCAACCCTGCATGGGGTTGTTGTGACCCAAGTGCAGGATCCAACGCTTGGCCTTGTTGAACCTCCTACAATTGGCCTCAGCCCATTAATGGGGATCATACCTTAGAAACATTTTACACTTGCAAAGGAACACACTTTATAGGTAAGAACATTCAGCTAGTGCTAATCAGAAGTACTAGCTCAGAGGCACTGAAGAAAAATATTGAGAGGTTGAGGGTTACATGTATATAAATTATCCATTTTTGGAAGAAATCGTGCAATACAGATGAAAGATGCTGGCCAATTATGAATTTTCCACTTTGCTCATAATGGGTGTCTTTTCAAAAAAAACAGAACAAAAAGACATCTTGCTCAAGAACTGCGTTTGATTGTTCAGAGGAAACTGCAAAATCTACACTGAAATCTAAGTGGCTTTGATTCTGATCCACTGAAGAGGAATACATGCACATTTTGCAAATTGCAAAATTTAAGTTTTAAGTTGGCTTGTAACCACAACATTCCCAAGCACAGCATTTTATCTAGAAAAGAGTATTCACTACTGAATCACCACCTAAGTACTGAAAGGATGTTCCATACATGCCTCCTTATTGAAGTAAAGATCTTTGCTTAGTTTGTGAAGTACGATGCGACAATTTGGTGTTTTACAGAAAAGAAACTAGCTCCTTCCTTCTGTGCTCTGCCCCTCAATCTGAACACATTCAAGTCAAAATGCAAGCATTACTAAGAGGATTTTTACTTAGAAGAGCAGTCAGAGATACTTTTAATCCCATATATACCATGCATTACATAATGCTTAGCCAAGTTTAAGAAACTGGCACCAAATCTTTGGTTCATTTACTCAGTAGAAGGCCCCTTCCATCATCACTGATTTCATTTTAAGTAATAGGAAAGGTCCTTCTTTGGGCAGAAGAGTGCCCAGCTTGCAATTTCACTGCAGTACTACACTGCAACACATAGAGTAGACCCACTCCCATCCTCAAGATGTCATGTTCCATGGGACATTCCTTGATCCCTATGCTTATTCCACAGAACTGTGTAAGTTGTGCTTTCATTAACTACTATTAAACACTTTTAGTAATTAGGTTCTCTAAACAGAGAGAAAATACTAAACATATTAGTAACTACAAGACTCTCTCAAAGTGACAAAAACACTCACAGGAGAGGGTTTCTTCCTCATTTCAAAGGTCCGGGTAGCACCAAAGCTGAGCGAGGCAATGACAGGATTGGTTCCCAGCGATGGTTCGTCATCACTGTGCCAGTCCACGCTGTCCTTCTCAGTTCGGTAGAGGTTGCAGAGCAGAGAATTGAAGGTATAGCCAGAGAACTCCTCAATGCGCTCCTTCAGCTCCCTCAGCAGGGGATGCCACTGTGATCAGCACAGCAGGAAGAGGGTAAATACCATGAAAGCAGGCCAGCAGCAAAGGTAAGACACAAGGGGAAAACTAATAAACAGAATACACGGCACTTTGATCACAATAAACTTGAAATCAAACAAGCACCTCTGAACAATTCTGATTATATATTTAGTATAAAGCTCAGGAATGGGCTTTCTGCAAAATCACTCAATACTAAATCATCTTTAAACTATGCAGCCAGTCTGCCTTTCATACAAATGTAGACAGCCATCCCAATTAACTGAAAGGTGAGAAAGTAGACACAGTAAAATCTGCTTGAACTGACCATGGATAAACATGGGAGTTCTTAATGAAGACAAAAAGTGTGCAACTTCTCCCATGCATCCTTGCTTTTTTAACCTCCTGGCCAAGCCAGAGGAGTCTGATAATGTCTGATTTACTTGGCCACTGATGGTGGGCACAGTGGACCCATAAAGTTGCAATCAGTGACTCAATTACACGGTCTCAACCTGCAGCTGTTGACAGAACGAGAGACAACAGTTGGCCTTACAGTCACATCGTGGGCCTCTGTCCCCACACTGTTACTACAGCCTGTGGGGCCAACTCACCACTTCTTGGGGTTTTTACTTCAACACTGTAACGTTTCAGTGGTTCACAGAAACAGTGTCACAGGCCCAGAATTTCATCCTTCTCTTTGCTGACATCCTGCTGAGCCTGTATAGCCCACGGCAGCTTTGGACATTTTATTACAACTCAGTCCAGTGAAACATTATTTAATGTTATAAACTTACATGATGACTTTCATATCTCAGAGTACTTTTAAGTACTACATAAGTATATTAAAAAAAAAAAAAGCCAAAGCACTGTAGGCCAGAATATTTGCCCATTTTATAAGAAGAAACACAGATCAAGATAAAGATAAAGAACTGATTCCAAATATCTCAGTGCATCATTCGCAGAAGAAACACTGAAATAATCCCTTCAATGACTACATATAATGTGATTA